CTCTAGAATCTTCGGATGCGGGCGCGCGACGATTATTGCGAGCAAGGTTATCGATGGCTTCTGAGAGTCGAAGCATAACGCGGTCTTGTGGGTTTAGACCGTCATTTTCATCATCCTCAACATCCGGATCATCATCCGGATCACCACCGTTATCATCGGGTGGATTACCAGGGAAATCATCATCACCATCATCGGGATCATCATCGTCCGGAGGTCCTACGGCAGGAGTGCGTGTTGGGGTTTCCGGGTGTCGACGATTAAGGAGTTCGGATATGGTTTGAGCGGTTCCGTGGGCGCTAACACGGCGCTGAGAGAAACTGGTGAAGGTGTTGACTATAGGTGTCGGATCACGACGGAGGGAGGTTAGTCCGACCGCGTGCAGAGTTGTTTGTGTCTTGGTAGGAGGCATGATAGATGTTAAGTAACTCGGAAAGGTATGAGTTCGAATATACTGTTAAGACCGTACTCAAGTAGTATCGGATTCCGAAGGGCTTCGGCCTCAGCTCGTGCACTGTGCCCCTTTCCCCGAGTCTTGCCCCTTATTTCAGAGAGCTAAGGTATCGCGTGTATAGAGTAACGGCCAATCCGGATCGGATCCGGATTAGAAAACTAACGGGTGAGGACTGTCCGAAGACAGAGGCGGATATGTAGACTATAGGAATCTATCCTAAGGTCTCGGAGTTGACAAGAGTAGCGTACTCAAGTCCGGATGGATAACGGAGGGACTCAGAGTCCAGACGGAATGAGTGCAATCTAAGATGATATTCGAACTGATCTACTACAGCGCATATACAAGGTTTATATACTACGGATAGCTACGGAATGATCAATAAGCCAAAGGTGCGAGGCTATGTACGAAAGTATAAGCAAAGTCTAAGTGGAGCGTATTGGTAAGTGGATGGATCACGAATCATGAACCGGGAATGAAGTACAAGTAAAAGCGGATCGTAAGTGTAGCGGATCAGTAAGCATAGCGGATCAGTAAGCAAAGCGGAAGTAAAGGATAACGGTATACCGGTGTACAGGAATACCGAAAGGGAGATGAACGATAGTTAGAGTTATATGAACAGGAAATGAAATAAGAATCAAAGCGGATCTGTGGACCGGACGACGGATATGTTCATCGGATCTGGATCGGATCTGAGATCCAGATCATCGGATCTGTAACCGGATATATGGTATATGACACCTTGCCTAAGTTTCAACAAAAGGCTTTTACTGCAGCAGAAGATGCCTTTGCTGACTGTGGCGCAGCTGCGACAGGCAATGAGAGGCATCAATATTACCGCACCTCGGCGGACTGCTACGTCCGAGGAGGACAAGACCTCAAAGCTGCTGATACCTATCTTGAGGGCAAAGAGTTTGAGCTAGCTGCAAAGAAATACCGCAAGACTGGATCTTTTGACAGGACGCTCCATGTCCTTACTGACCACCATGCCATGATACCTGAAAAGACCGCGACAGATTTGCAGATGGTATGTCGGCTTCATTACTGCGGCAGAAGTGATGATCCGTATGTGACCACAATTTTACTATGATTTGGTTTAATAGTGATCGTGCAGAGCCCCTGTACCTCTATTCTCGTCAGTTGACAAGGAAACTCAAGTTTTTGGAGGAATACGACTTGGATTGTACTCGTATTCCCCTTCTGGAGTCTCGCTCAATGTACTATGAAGTCGCGGGAGATACACTTATCAGGGAACTGCCACATGGAAGCAGTTCAAGCATTCCTCAAGGACAACAGAATATTGATTCAACTTCTCGTGCGGCCGACACTCTTCTGGAAATCATGTGGTGCAAATGCTCATTCAGGATCACCCCCGAAGCCGCTGTTGCTGACGATTCCGTGCGGCAAGCTGCCGCCCTCACTGATCAGCTGCATCAGTAAACCCCAATTTTCTCCACAGACATAACATTTCCGACAGTTTCCCACAGTAACCCACAGCGCCCCACAGCGGCACAGAGCTCACAGTAGATTTCTCCCAGCATCGACATTTTCTGATACTAGTTCCTCACAGCAACCCACAGAGGGACAGAGCTCACAGGGTGTACAGCTGCTTACAGTGTTTGTCAGTAAAATTACTAGTACTAGTCACCATTTCCATTCTCAAGCGCTACTACTAGTATGTAGTTTGAGCTAGAGCTATACTTAGAAAATTAAAACAATTTGAAGCCCATCCACCAAGGTCAAGACATAAACAAAAATTTCATGGCCCGAATCATATTTAGTGAGAGTACTACTGCCAATACAATGTTTCTATTGATACAAATCAAAGAAGGTACTTGTCATCAGGTCCAACTGGATGGCGACCTGACGGCAGGATGCGAATGAGTCTATGATACGAAGGTGTTAGTTTGGTAGTACTATGTAAATGATAGGCGTACTTACGTGAAAATTGTTGTGGCGCTGGGTGGTGAGAAAGACCATGTTTCCTGAATGTGATGCGCATATGACCCAATCCTACATCCGCCTTGTCGAGCTTGCGCTTAGAGATGGCAGACTTGTGTTTGAAAGAGACGTCATGACTTCATGTTCTCGGACGATGCAATAGGCAAGTGTTTTCTCTGCATCGAATACATCACGTCGGGCCCTTGAAAGGTCCATGATGAGGTTGGATCAAGATCATCAACATCGTTGATGGTCTGTGGGCATGTGAACGAGCATTGCCTAGTAAGATATCACAGTCACTTACCATTGAGCCAATAGCGTCGACCACATGTACAAATCTGCGATACCACTGCCAGAGTCACCCAGGACATAGTTGGCTGCCACTTATTGCATCGCGGGCGCATACGTTGACGCCGATGGATACGTCACTATCACTAGAGACATCAGATTGAGATGTATTGGTGTGTGGCTTGACTCGGACATGAGGGACTGAAAAACTAATATGTTCGGATTCCGGAATCAATACCTTTACAGTTGAACGTCTCAGAATTCTCACGTGCACGCTATGTCGTCATTCCAGTGTCCTTCATGCGGCAAAGGCGGTTTTCAAGAACGACGTCGCTGTTGCTCGTCACATGAGCCAACCTCGTTCTGGGTGCAGTACGTGGCTGCAGGATTTGGCATGCTTTCGCCCCGAGTCTGATGACTCTCATATGGACTCGGATGATGAACCAAATATTTCCATGGATATGGACGATGGACCGAATATACCCGACATCGAGTCTGGTGGTTTTGGGGATTGGGATGAGATGTCTCGAGGGAGTACTGGTGGTAGTGAGAGCCAGGGAATGCCAACTCACAACTCGGAAGTTATCGACTCATATCCTGACTGCGCTCAAACATACGGCAAGGGCTACCACGTTCCTCGATCTATTCAATTCCGACAATAACAGCAAACACCGTGCAATGAATCCGTATTACCCATCAGCAGCCGGAAAGACTGGGAAGTTGGGTCGTGGCTCCTTCGCTCAGGATTGAGCATGGGGAAGATAGACAGTTTTCTTTCACTCGAGATGGTGAGTAACAAATTCGTCGATAATATTTACAATTTTTCTAAGTGATTCAGATAAAGACCCTTCCGTTGTCATTTCCTTTCGGCCAAGGAACTTCGCAGTAGAGCGGAAATGTTGCCCAGCGGTCCGCGCTGGATGTCTCAAATCATACCTACAAAATTTCCTACGAAATTGCCCGTTGTGTTGTATTGGCGCGATCCCCTGGATTGTATTTCAAGCCTTCTAACCATCCTGCCTTTCATGATCAGCTGGACTTTACGCCTCGCAGGGTGTATACCACTGCACAGAGGTTGTGTCGCGTGTTCTCAGAATGGGCGACAGGTGATGACGCGTGGAATATGCAGGTACGCATAGTATCATTTGTGCGAGTTGTCATACTTATCAGTTTTCGGACAGTCAGCCCTACCAAAAGGTGCAACACTCCTTGGGACCATCTTATCATCTGACAAGACGAATGTATCGACCATGACGGGCGACAGAGTTGCACATCCCCTTCTCATTAGCCTTGCTAAAATACGCATGTCTACCCGACTCAAATCGTCTTCGAATGCCTTTGTCCTTACTGCTCTACTCCCCGTCCCAAAATTCATCTACAAGAAGAAACGCATGCGAGGTGTACTTGAGGATCGCCTCATTCACGAATGCTTGGATATAGTTCTACGTCCACTCAAGGTAGCCGCCCGCGAAGGGGGTCATGCTGTCAGATCCTATCGGACACAGTCGCTACTGTTTCACACCACTCGCAAGCTATATTGTCGACACCCCGGAGGCCATGATGCTGCTTGCCGTTGGCGGGAAAACCTCTCCGGTTACTATGGTCATGTATAAACAGTTTGGAGATTCTTTCCGTCACGAACCTCGCACACGAGCAACTACACTCTCCCAGCTGGCTACTGCACGGAGTAAAGTTGATCCCGATGACATCGAGGCTTTTTTCCGTGAGGCCCAGAAGTTTCGTCTGAATGGCGTCAACACACCATTCTGGCTAGATTGGCCCCTCAGTGATCATCACACTTTCTTACTCCCGAGTTTCTTACCTCATCCATCGCGAGTTCTACGACCACGATGTAAAGTGGCTCATTTGCGCAGTCGGTTGACACAGAGATCGATTTTCGGTTCTCTGTGTTGCAGGTCATCACTGGGTTCCGTCATTTTCATGGCGGGATTTCAAAACTTAAACAGGTTACAGGACGCACTCAACGCGACATCCAGCGCTCAATTGTCGCGGTCAGCGCGGACGCAAGTACCTAGCACCGTGATGGCTGCCGTACGAGCTCTCATGGACTTTCGGTACCTCGTACAGTCACCCGTAATCGATGACATCCAACTCACCCGTATTTCCATGGCCCTTGAAGAATTTCACGCCAACAAAGATGCAATTATAGATGGCGGGATTTCGTCGTGGTCAGCGTGGTGGAGTCATTGAGAACTGGTACATACCAAAGCTGGAGCTCATGCAGTCCATAGTTCCGAGCATAAGGAACACTGGAGTTTCTCTGCAATGGACCGCCGACACCACCAAACATGCGCACATAACGGAAATCAAGGATCCTGCTCGCTCCAGCAAACAACAACAACTACGATCCCCAGATATGGTCGCCATCTTGACCGTACCGATAAGTGCCGCCGATTTGACCTCGCTATGAGTCTGCTTAACAATATGGCAGACTCGAAGCGGCAGGGTTCAGATGACGTTGGCGATGTCAATGACAACGTTGATCTCGATGCAGACGACGATCACGACGATGGCGATGTTGATTTCGACGCAGATGTCGATCATGATATCCCACACCTTCTAGCGATGAACAAATACCCTGGGCATTCACGTCCGACCACTAATTACTTCGAAATTGCCAAGGTCCTTCAGCACAGGGAAGCGGGAACAGTCCCTGTGCCATTGCGCTCGTTCGTTATTGAACGCACAGCGTTCCAACCTCGCCTACGACCCATCCATCAGAATATATCTGTTGACCGATGCTGCCATTAAGTTTGGCCTTCCCGACTTACGACCAGCCATTGCCGACTTTCTTCGTCGTGAGGATACTCACGGGAGGGATCACATTCCATACTATTGGGGGGGGCTAGAAGAGCTTGGACCCACTACTCCACTTCCCTTCGACAAACTACAAGTCTGGTTTAAGCTTCGGCTCCAGGACACCGATTTTCATGATATCAGCATCATACGGCCTGCACAGGACCCTCAACTGCGCACCCCCTTCTGATCCCTGGACCTCTGGCCGGTATGACACAGCCACTCATCAATAACGAGGCGAGATGTGTATGGCCCACAGATGGTCTTCACGGGCTGTTATTCTTACATTGTACTGAATATTACTTATTGTCAAGTTGTAGGTCATACTATTGGTCAGATCAGGCTTCTCATGCGTCCTGTTGGAAAGAGTGGCACAAATTGGTCATGGAAGGACCGCTTTCTGGTATATGTACATCGCTTTGACATTGTTCCCCAAAGCTCCGGTACCAATGATCATGAGCCAAGTACGCAGCTCCACTTGCTCAACGAGCGAAGCGTTCAAATGGTACTCGGGTGGGTGACATCGTGCCTGTGACACAGCTCAGAGCACTTGTCAACCTCGTCCCTCGCTTCGGTGCAAGTGCGGACAACCGCCTCACCCCATATAATAGCATGGAACATGCTTCGCAGTTTTGGCTCAACAAGTATTGGGACAAGAACTCATATTTTCCTCTTTCCATGTAACTTTGATGTAGTCACCCTTTTTTATGCAATGCTCGCGTCAGTTGTGTATCTAGCCAATGGTTATTCTAGTCTATCTTATTCTTAGATCATTGGTCCAATCTTTGATGGCGCTGTGAGGCGCTATGTGGCGTGATAAGCTAGCGTTTGTCTCATTATTGTCACATACAAAATGGCTTGTTTTTTCAGGACCGTTGACAACGGAATCAAATTGTCATCACTTGTGTCTATCCCCGATGTCACTGACGTCCCTGCTATGAACAAGATCACGTCCAACGAGCCTTAATCGGCTGGTCACTCATGAGGATACACCAAAGGCCTCACAACCGATACTAGGACACTTACTCACCCAAATCTTCCAGTCTTTCACAATTCCTCTTCCCGATGTGTCCAACCTTAAAATACCTTTTGGAAAAATCCTTCATCACAACCAGCGCATCAACGAAAAGTTTAGCAGTACATCACCAGATACCCTAGTGCCGCTGTATGACACTGAAGCGAAGACTTGGAACTGGGCTCTTCCAGTTGACCCCCCAGAAAATGGTAGTACTCCAGCTGGGGTTGACTCGGGGTCAGACTCGGAGGACAACGCCACACAGGAAACAACTCATGAAGAAAATTTTGCAGCGTTTCTCAATGCTTTTGCTAGTTGCTTGTCACAGTCGCGGTCCGAACTTTGTAGCAATGCGCTTTGCAACCGGCACATGGAGTGCGGCCAATGCACAGAAGGCATTGCCTGGCAGCGCCATCAAGCGCAAGCCAGATATTGTCCTATCTGACGATATATCTGCCAAGTGGGGGAAACATCAGGGTATCAGCAGAACTCACGCACAGTCGATACCAGCCTGCAATGCGACTCGGGAAGGCCGTGGATACCCATGCCTATATTATGATGAGTGAACAGCCCTGGAGGCGCTTTCGCTCTCATATTATCATTCACAAATAAATATCGCCACCTTAGGGTCTTGATGTATGACCACTCAGGTGGTGCTGTATCCCCTCGCTTCGATATTTACACCGCAACCCAACGCATTTCTACACATCATCGCTGCTATCATGTTTGGGAGTTTAGAGTGCGTCGGTTTATGACACAACAGTTTCCTTCTCGCGGATTGTTTCACCACCCTGATCCAAAGATATCCACGGCTATCGTCCCATCAGAAATACTCCTGCCCGACGGAGTAGTACGACAGACCATGCTGTTTACCACATCGAGCTCTGTATTCTCTTCCAAATCCTGATGTATCATCCGGCGAAGCTCTTGAATCAGTCGTCTCCGATGATTCTGATGACTCTGATGACTCTGATGACTCTGATGACTCTGATGACTCTGATGACTCTGATGACTCTGATGAGTCCTCTAGTGATTCTGCTCACGACTCAACTGAAGAGAGTCCGAGCGCCTTGCATGACTCGATGGATGAAGAGAATTCCTCCCCCCCCTCAACCCACTGCAACCCGCAAGCGCTCCCCTTCTTAGCCTCATATCGCAAATACCCCAGGCTGAGATGACTGAGAGCATCTATTCCGTCAACCCCCTCTCCCTTCCCAATTCCCTTATTCTACTCAATCACCCGAACCTTGCGGCAAGATTTGTGTAGGGGGAGAAAATCTACACCATAAAGAGGATTCTTTTTGCGACCCGAGGCCTCGTTGGTCGCGGAACCGTTGCTATTTTAGTCACCTTGGACGATGAAGACTACATCATCAAAGATCATTGGGTTCTGGGCAAGGACGATAATGTAGTCCTGAACGAGATCAAGATGCTGGAGTTAATGGACAACGTCCCTGGCGTTCCAAGGCTGGTGGGATTATTGGGGTTGTTGAGCGGTCAGATGGTGAGCCCGACATTACCCGCAAAATATCGGCACAAGGAACGCCGGAGTACCAGAGGCACCAGTCGTACTCATGTGCGTCTTGTCTTGAAGCCATGTGGTCGCCCCCCTTCACATGTTCCGAACGCTTAAGGAGTTCGTGCGAGCACTAAGAGATATCGTTAAGAGTAAGCATCTAGTTCGTGGTACAGGTGTCTTAAACTGATGCTCTCTGATTTTAGTCCTACAAACTGCAGTGGAGGAACGTCAGATTTTGCATCGGGACTGTAGTCTTAACAACGCGATGATCCTAGACGAGCTTGGCAGTAGTAGGAAGGGTTTCTTATTGACTGGGAGTTCGCGGTTTCGTATTGCCGCGGATAACAAATATCCCATCGGTGGTACAGTAAGTACACCTCATTCATTAAATATTCAGTTTATTAATTCATTTGCCAGGGCACAGTCCCTTTCATGTCACGTGGGCTACTCAACCAGGTCGCAATCCTGCAGCAACAGGCGAACTCGGAATCGATGAAGAAGAAAACTCGGGCACATAAATCACCGAAAAAACCGACAACCCCGAAATCATCGTCGGATTCTTTGGCTCTGCCAATATCATTTGTCGTTCACAGATTCGCGGATGACTTGGAGTCTCTTTTTTTTATATTCGCTTGGGTTTGCATCAAGTTCAGTGGTCCCAATGGCATGGTGTGCCAGGGGTCCTTACCCAATTCCTTGCTGGATCGATGGACAAGCCTTGACTTGGAAACATGCGCCGCCTTCAAGATCACCTTTTTCGCGAATCAGCAGAAGAAAAGCGTCTCACTGATGAATTTCACCCGTACTTCAGGGACCTCATCCCCCCTCGCAACCGAGTGGCATAAAGCTCTGGCGGACAACATGATTCACCCCCCGTCACCTTCAGTACCATTCTTGGTATACTCAACTCGCATCTTAACAAGCTTCCCGATGACGAGGAGCTCGCAACTACTTGGAATATGCTCAAGAATGATGCTGCCGTTCTTGCGGATCGTTTCAAGGGGAAACGGCTTGCTTCAGAGTCTTTCTCTGTTGTGGAGCCTAAGCGACAGAAGTCCCATCATACTGGAGACACTGAGTCTGATTCAGCATCGGGCAGTGATGCATGACCAGGAGGGAAAGGTGATTCGATTTGTCCACCCGCTCATCATACGCTATCTTCTTTGTTATTAGCTTGTTTGCACTGGCATATGCATACCCTAGAATCTCGTGTACTGTGTTACGTTGTTTATGATAGTTCACCTACGAGCACCCTACTGATTTTTCTCTTTCTCTTCACAATCAGACAGTTTCTTTTACGTACTACTATTCATCTTGCCAATGATGCGCACTGTTTTTGCTTATGTAATCGAAATTTGAATGTAACTCTCAGGCTGGTGGCGAAACGTTTTCTTAACTGACGTCAATATGAAGCACATCTTCTCTCGCTAGTCCCATCTGAATATCGAGTACGAGTCATGATACACAACTCTTGCGACACATTGACTCAGGTGTGTTGCTCTATTACCATCATTACTAACATGAAGTTTTCTCTCGCTAGTCGTCCGAATATCGATTACTGAGACATGATATAAAATCCTCGTGAGTCTGGTATAATTCATCAGCATTGCCTCTTCCTGTTCTTTATTGCAGTGATGCCTCCCCGTTGCCGTTGCCAGTCCCAAGCGGAAACGATCCAAGCGCAAAGGATCTGATGCTTAAAGACCGGCTTGCCAAAGAAGTCGCGGGCCTGCAGACATTGCCGAAGTACCCAGCATGGTACCTCTCGTGTCACTCGGCCTGGCTGGAGCAGAAGCAGCAAATGATGCTCCCCGACGTTCTGGCCGCCCTAATGCAGGAACTGGAGGTAGGAACGCCCAGCTGGAGAAAATTGGATTAGCGCTACAATCTAAGCCTCGAGCTCACGAACACAAGGGTAGGACATCCCTTGGTCCCAATGTTCCAGTCAATCCCCAAGCCCCAGAGCCACGTCGTAAAGGTCGAAAGAAAGATTCTAAGGTAAGTGTTTAATTAATGTTGTTACTCATGTTGATTCTCCCATAGGCAGTTTCCTCCACCGTATAGCTCGCTCGTCAGTGATGCTCCAGATGCCTCAGCCATGGATATTGCAGAGCCCAGCTTGACATTACTACAACCTGGCAGACGGTTTGGATTTGCTGCTTCAAACACCACAGACTTTGTTCATCCCGGTACTGCTAAGCCCGATCTTCAGGTGTCGGAAAACCCATATGTCACCGTTGGGATGAAGGTCGCTGAGCAGCGAGCTAGGGACGTTATTGCTGAGCAGCGAGCTAGGGACGCTATTGCTGAGCAACGAGCAAGGGACGCTATTGCAGAGCAGCGAGCTAGGGATGCTATCGATGAGCAGCGAGCTCGGGATGCTATCGATGAGAAACGAGTTCGGGACGCTATCGCTGAGAAACGAGCTCGGGACGCTATCGCTGAGCAGCGAGCGCAGCATACCCAGAGGTCCGTCTTTTTGGAGCACAACTTAGACCCAGCTCTGCGCCAGGAGGATGACACTGTTAGGGCTCAACGTCATCTGAGGCTGCTAGGATCTGAGGAGGACAGCGACTCCAAAAGCAGCAGCAGCAACGACAGCGATGACAGTGACGACAGCGACAACAAAGATCCCGACGGAGAGGCTGACGGAGAG